CGGCCCGGCCCGGCCCGTTGCAAGTATGCTATATTCCTTAAGGGCTTTCTATAGCTTCCTGCGTCTGATGTTTCTCAAGAAACAAATCAAATCTGAATTTGGTCACGCCTACTTGCAATTTTCAGCAGGTAAGTGTGACCAAATTCTGATTAATTCTTTTCGAAACACAAAGTTTACTTGGTCATAAAGCCAATAAAGTGCACCAAAGTACTGCACTTCTCTCGAAAAAAACGAAAAACATCCAAAAACGTACTAATTTTGTCGGCGTCGTTGGGAGGCGGTGCCAATGAGGGGAACTCTCTCGCCTGGTTGTTGTTCGCTTGTTGCTCGGCGTTGGCGGCGACGAGCCACGATGGTCGCAAGTCGTTGGCTGGCTGTGTTGGTTGTGGTGGTGCTGGTGGCACAGCTCCTCCGGCAGCAGCGGCGGCAGCAGCGGCAGCAGACGTCGGTGTGAGCGGTGGTTCGTTGGGGTTGTCAGATTTAGTCCATCCAGTACCTCCTAAAAAAGATGGATTTGAGTAGGGAGGAGAGGCAAATAAGGCGAGAAGATGGTGGTTGGAAGGAGGTTTCTTCCAGGAGAGGCTAAGACAGATGAGTCCCCCGGAGGTGACATAAGGAGTCGTGCAAAATAGGAGCTTCTAAGGAGGTTGAGTTTGCCTGATGATGTGGAGTTCTTGACTAAGAAAAATGCGAAATGTCAGTTTACCATGGAGACGTTCGTTTCAATACTCTTCACGTCATTCACTCTAGTTTCTATATTTTCCCATGGACCTGCACGAGGCACATGTGACTTATTTAAGAAACTAATCAATACATCCAACGTTATCATGTGGGAAAGTTGAAAATGTTTTTTTCACACTTAAAAACTCATTCTCCCTCTCTCTCTCTCTCTCTCTTTTTCACTTTTTCTGCTCTAATTCAGATTAGTTTTGCTTTAATTCAGATCCAGCCGACTTTTGCACTTGGAAACTTTCAAGTCGCTCTAAAAATTGGCACGTTTGGTGAAGTAGTATTCTTTGAGGATAGGAAGCATTTTCTGATTGCCTACCATTTGTGACGCTTCCCTCTCGAGGAAAAAAAGAACGACGCCTCTCATGCACAAAATAGGCTTTCATTCGTTTCTCGGCGCATATTTTGGGGGCGAATTTTTCAGTTTCCTTTTTTTTTCTCACTATCGTCTTTTGCAAATGTACTAGTCTCACCTCTATGCTTTCTGGCTTAATTTTTTCAGCTCATACCAGTTGTATAGTCATGTAAAAAATGCCTTAAAATTACAGAGTAGTGATCTAAACAAGTTCCCGGACTGCAACCAATGAACGGAGAATCACAAGTGGTCCAAAAGTGAGTTCAGTTAGTTTTGGGGTAGGAGAATTTCTGAGTATCACGTGGTTTAACATATTCCCATGTTTCTAGGGTTGTGAAAAATTTCTTAAGTTTTTTTTGTCAAAATGCTAAAATTTGTATATTTTGGTTTTATAACTTTTCGTGAAAATAGTTTGCTTATGAGTGTGCTTACTACGGTTCACCTACTGTTGGGACCTTATGCCCCGTCCAAAATTTTTAAAATTTTTTTGGGATTTCTGGGTTCAGAACGCAGTCCAAATGGACGCCCATTTTCTTTTCTCAAAAAGCCGCGTAAAGCTTTTTGAGGGTCACACTAGGGGGTTACGGTCGCTCTGTTTTTGATTGTGCAAATTAAGAATCCTGAAGATTTGGGTGTCTTTTTGGTTTAGGAGCAAAAAATACGAGACTTACAATTTGGGCGAATGAGTTATACTAACACGTATTTTTCGAATGATTTTTGGCCATTTTTACCATTTTCAGGAGTCTGGACGGTGTAAAAGAAACCTATTAGGTTGTTCGGAAAGTCCTTTCCATTTTGGACCTGTTGTTTTTAAACTTCGTTTTTTCGAACGGGGTAAAAGCGCGGGAGTTATCGTTTTATCAGTATATAGGTGGGGTCTGATAGTGTCTACACACAAACGGAGATCATTCTCCTCTTCTCGTGAAGTGAGATATGCCCACCGTTTTCGCTTCTAATAGTTCAGACTTTCGGACTGCCATTTTTATTGTATCTCTAACTGACTTTAGATTAGCTGAAATTGATTGCCAATTAGTGGAGGTTAACAACGAAGATGCACCCTTTCGAACTACCGTCACGATTTGGACTCATCGATTTAAAAATGAATTTTCGTTGGATAAGAATTTTCGTTGGATAAAAATCCCACTTCAAAAAGGCAAACGGACTTAAGTTTGGATGAACTAAAAACCGGGATTGAAAGGGACCCGTCTCAAACTGTGCGGGATATATCAAGTACACCAGTGGCAAGCCTTCGTCAAAGAGCCATGAATTGGAAACGCTCGGCAAAGTCAAAAAAGTGGGAAGACATGGACCACACCTTTTGGCTCAATGCAACTTCGATTCACCTGTGGACACCTGTTTGAATCTTCGCATCCTGCATTGCAGACATGAATGTTAGATTCAAATCATTACTAGTGGCGATAAAGGGGTAATGTATGGTTACAAAAAGCCACATGCCAAATGTGTTGACAACGGCACTCAATCACCAGACGTCCCGAAACGTGAAATTCATGTTAAAAATGGGGTGTTGTCGGTTTCGTGATCTACCAAGGAGTGGAGTATTGGGAGTTGCCAGATAACTGTGTCACTTTTACCACTGATACCTATTCATCTCAGCTGACATAACTCAGGCTCCATGTGGATCTCCATTGGAGAGAAACAAAAAAATGGTTTATTTTCAAAATTACAATCCGCGACCTCATGCGGGAAGGAAGACCCAGGGCGATCTCGGTGGATATGGCTAGACGATTCTGTCTTATTCACTGTATAGCTCGAACCTTGGACTTTTTCACTACCGCCTTCCCAGCCATTTCTAACGTCATCTTGTTTGAACAAAATTCACTTCAAAACATGATATCAAAGATGGGTTGACTTGATTTTCAATTCGCTGTGGCCTGAGTTCTGGAAGGAAGACATCCACAATTTGGTGGGGCGTTGGTAGATAGTCCTTGATAACAATGGTCATTGCCTTTAATTTATCCAACACCGTTTTGACCTTTTTTAGATTGAATGAATCTGACGCTAAAAATGGAAAAGACTTTCCGAACAACCTAATAGATAAAAAACGTTGCATTCATAGAATTTTTTGAAAATTCCTAGTTTTCAATCTCCTGCCTTCCAAAACTCTCAAACTCAACAGAAGTTTGACAGCCGCGCTACAAGCTCCTAAGAATTTCAAAAATCCACAAAAAAATACATTCTTTTATATCATTGACCGGTACTGTAGGCACCCACATCACTTCAGAGGACTATCTATTCGACGATTCTTCATCCCCTTCAGAAGATGCGTTGCTTTTCATTCAAATCCCTCTTCCTTTTCTTCTAGGATTTCAAAAAAACTAATAAATCTAGTGGGGACAGCTAGGCCTAGTTAATAGCAGGTGTCCCCCATCCCCGGGCGCCAGTCTGACCCAGCTGTTCAATTTAGTACAATCTGCCGTACCTTGAGGAACCACGGGTGTAGTCGGATCCTGTCCATTATTCTCGGCTCTTAATGACGGCAGAGATGCTGGCGGCGGCATACGGCGCACGACGTTCGCTGCATTCTTTCCAACACTTTGCATGCCATTTCGGCTCGGGTCTGGAAATTAGAGAGGAGTTGAATTTAGAAAAATCTATAGCAGTGGGAAACATTTTTGGAAATCAGTTTTTGTTCAGAAACATATCGAGTGATATTTGGGAAGTAAGAGTCATTTAAGATTTTTTTGAAGTCATGTTTTTTGCAATTCAACTTAATTGTTGATGTTTTCAGAGCTCACAACTCGAAAAGACTGCTCAAACTTCCCAAATTGCTTCATGTACGTTCAGAAGGCACCTAGCGTAGAACCTGTATTAGAAGGGCGGACCCTTTATTGTTCCAAAGTACCTCCGGAGGGCCCTACTAATACAGGTTTCACATAACTCGATTCTAACTAAAATTTCAACACTTTTATCAATACCTACCCCGTGCCCCGGGGGCGCTACGTCCAGAAAATAGATTGTTTGCTGATACTCCTTTCTGCTTAATGGTGCCCTGGGCACCTCGATTCTGAGACGACATGCGATCTGAAAGTAACACTTTTTGAACAAAAAATTTTGAGAAAAATGACGAATTTTGTTGTTATTCAAGACTGAAATCTAATTGGAGACTACTACTCTTCAAACCGAAACTCACAAAAAATGAGCAACATTTTGAAGAGAATTTTTGCTTCTTTAAAATGATTGAATTTTTTTTTTCAAAATGATTGAATTTTTGTCTTTTACTGAATTTCAATTATTAGGAACAAAAAGGAGGAACGGAAAAAGCCTTATTTAGATGTTTTCATTAAAATTGCACTTTTTTCAAAAAACCACATAGAAAAACGGTCTTGAAAATTGTATCAGAAGGATTTCCGGTTAAAAATTCGGAGGGAAAATGGCGAGATTTGAATGTTATTCGTATAGATAATTAATATGCATAACAGAAGCAGTTTTTTTCTGCAGTTTTATTTTTCGAGTATTTTTCGTACAGCTAGAAAATTTCAGAAAAATAATTTTGCTGATAATTCCCAATAGATCTATCTACAAGGTGGATTTTTCGCTATGCATACGAGGAATCGTATAGTGCCTTGCGACGTACGAATTTTCAGCCTTTTTGAGAATCCAGGGATATTTTGAAATATTGCGACATTCAGAACCCCAATTCTCTTTTTGATAGTCGTTTTTAAGAAAACTTACACAATAAGATAATGAAACATAGACGGAGATCCAATAAAAAACGCCAGCTCTTTGGGTTGAAAAATTGTGCCAATAAAAATCAACCTGAAAAAATTAAAGGTAATAATTTTGTACAGTTTGATTGAGAAGGTAAACATTGAGTGGTCAGTAGAAGTACGGGGAATGAAATTGATAGTTTTCTATATATTGATTGTGCTGACCGGTGAAAGAGTTTTTTACATTTGAGTTATAGTGTTATTTACTGATAACATTTGGTTGGGTCACTATACATAAATTTCAGTCAGGAAAAACGATTGACCCATTTTAGCAAAATGACGAATACTTTGTTGCGACCAAGTGGTCTATGTCGAGGGGGTTGTATTGGTAATTGAATACGGAAAAATATAAAAATGACATTTTTTGTTTAAAATTTCAATTTATAGTTCACTTCCTGTTAAAAATAGTGACGCTCTATTCGAGCTACAGTACCGGCCAGTTGATTTTGACCATTTTCCAGAGTCTGTATGTCGGCTTTCAATTTTTAAATCATTTTGAAAATTAGGGAGGGTGTGAAACAAACCTATATTGAAAACTTTGCATTCACAGACCTTTTTTGAAAATTTATAGTTTTTCAGGTATTTGTAATTTCTGAAAGACATTTTCTTTACGTTCTGATACAAAGACCAGGGAAAGGTAGCGTCGTTTAGCAATCGGAAAAGAGCTGAAAAGCTAGGAGTTTTCAGAAAACTCTGTGAAGGCGGAGTTTTCCAAATAGGTCTGTTTTATACCCCCAAAATTTTTGAAAACTGCTGGAAATGGTCAAAATCCACTGAAAAACACTATTTTATACGCTTTATTGACCGGTACTTTAGTTCACTTCCAGCTCAAAATAGTGAATATTTTTAGAGTTCTAACGTTTCAAAAGTGTTGCGCCAAGTGACTAACAACAGTGGCCCGAGAAGCCGTTTGTCCAAATTGAGCATTCTAGGAGGGCCAGTGAGAGAAAAAGAAGATTTCCTAAAACGAGGAGCGGTGCCCCTCAAAAGTAGTTTTGGGATGTGTAAGTGTGTGTGTATGTGAGATAAGAGACCTGACCATAGAAAGTGGGGATGTGCCCGCGGAGAGGGCCAAGTTACGAGAAAAATGATGCGATTATGGATGAGTGCAAAAAGTGTTTTGGTCAGAGAGGAAGGGGAATTTTCTGAGAATCATGGTGTTTTGGAATAGTTTAGAACCTAAAAATTGAGAAAAAAAAACAATAACCTAGACTTTTACCCTATACAAAATGAAGACTCTTGAGGAAAAAAAACGTGATAGCGGCACCAAAACAAAAGTGCACGGTATCAGCCGCCGTTTTCAGTATCAGCGGCTCAAAAAATTTACATAAACTGGTAGGTTTGACAACGGATTAACTCTGAAAAGGCGATTAACCAGTATGCCTCACGTAACTGTTCCGATAGTCTTCCGGATGACAGACAATTGGTTTTTTGTCGGTTGTCATATGATTTGACAACAAAAAATGGTTTCGAATTATGTTTAGGTATATGACGGTGGAATTGTTCTCAAATTGGTTTCCGGAAAATTTTTGAACTGTGGGGAAGAGATTCAAAAGAATAGTTTGTTAAAATTCAATTTTCAATTTAAAAGAAGGGAAATCAGAAAATTGAATTTTTTATGAACTGATTTTGGCAAGAAGGACCTTCCGAATTAGGACCTTTAAGAGATTTTAAGAGAAGAACTAGCAGAAAATAATTTTGAGGGGGCAGCGAGCAAACAGCTAAGCTACACGGTCACACCAATCACTCAAAAAAGGGTACAGTAGCTGATCAAAAAAGTACAACAGTGCCAAAAAATTCGTCTTTCCAATTTCCCCGCCATTAGAAAACATTTTACATTAGATTTAGGACTGGAAAAATAATTGAAAAAAAAATCTTTTTGTCATATGACGCTTTCAAAAAACTATTTCAAATGGTTTTGCTCAAAAAATGATATCATGGAAAAATTGGAAATAGTTTTTTCACTTTGAAATATTTGAGAGCAGAAATTAATAGAAAACACTAAAAACTGTTCAAATTACTATTAAATGTTAGCCTGTTGAGGTTTTAGGCGGGAAAGAGTCTAAAAATTTTCGAAGAATAACCGGAAAATTGAAAGATTGTTTGAATTTTGGTTTTCTGATAAAGTTCATAGCGTTATAGTATTTTTAAGATAACAAAAACATTTTCCTCACTTTGTATTTAAAAGCTAAACAAAATTGATTCTCTAAAACTAATGAAAACAAAATTTTGAAAACTTTAGAATCTAGAAGTTCTCCAACCTTAAAATAACCAAAAAGAGGAAACAAGACGTATCGGCGCCGCTCGTTCTGATGGGAAAAAGAAACGATAACAATCTTTAGAGTCTTTCGAAAGGTTGATGCAAGATAGGCATGTAAAAAAGTGTCCCCGTAACTGATGGCCAGTCAAATGGTCACTGTGTGCAAAAAAATTTTCAGATTTCGAAAACCGTTCTAAGTCTGCTTAAATGTTGGCCACAGATGTAGATGGATGGGTTGAGAGAGAAAAGTTTTGGGATGCAATGCGTTACAAAAGATGGCGAAAAAGAGTGTGGACGTGTGGCGGGACCGAACGAGTTGGAGAAAAAGAAGAGACTAGCCGATCGGAAGAGCGCGCAAAAGGGTCACACTGCATCCCACCACTCGTCGTCTGCGTTTCGTTACGCACCACACCGGGGGCACACACACACACACGCAAATATATACACAAAGAGAGAAAGAGAGTGAGAGAGAGAGAGAGAGAGAGAGAGAGAGAGAGAGAGAGAGAGGGAGAGAAAGGGACAACCAGGGTGGTATATTGAAGAGAGAGAGAGGGGTAAGTGAATGAAACACGGAAAGAAAACGAACGAAGAGTCGGGTGACGGCCGACAGATCGATACCTCATAACGACCACCCGGCTAAGTGTGTCCGAACAGCCGTCTCCTCCAGCAGCTCTGGCCGCCAATTGTCCTACCCCCGGAAGGTCTGTTCCGCAAGCTGTTCGCTGGTTTCTGTCGCCGCACACATAATTTAGTCATACAATCCATTTTCGCCTTTCTCTCTCTCACCCCATGGAAGCTTCTAAACGACTACATTATGGCCTATGTGCATACCCAATTAAAGGCTATTGAGTAGGACACAGGATGCGATTAGGGGCGGCCGTTTGGGGTTTTTCGGTGAGTAATGCAAATTGAACATCTGGCCTCAATCGAAATTGCTCTTTTTTCGCCTCAATGGATTTTCCGAAAAAAAAGAGCCCCTCTCCGATAGAATGCTTCACAATAGAAAATTCGAGACGTAATTAGGATTTTGTTCAAACCACATGACAGGGTTTGGATGGAGTGAAAGAAGTGGTGGTCTGGTGGTCAGTTCTGAAAAGAAAGAACGATTCCATTGGGAATTCTTGAAAACGAATAAATGGTTTCAAAAGTTTGGGTGGCCACTGCGCTTCTCAAGATGATCAGACTCAAAAAGACGACTCAAAAAGAAAATCATTCTCCTGAGAGCTATAGTGTCCACTTGTGTCTCTAAAGTAAGAAAAAAAGACATTTGTTGTTGTTTTTCATGGTGGTCCACTGTTGTCATCTTTGTTCGCCGCGTTCCACGCTTTCAAAAATGATATAGCTCTGCTATTTATGCACATTCCTGTGCGGTAGTCAGAGCCCTGTGGATGACGTGAAGGAAGGGACTGGAATATTAGTTTACTATTCTTAAAAACAAATATTATTGATGGGATAATCCTTATTTATTAGGGCTTTCCGATGCGCTAGAAATTTATATTAGTTTCATTTATGAAAACTGACCTAGTTCGCGTAATCTGGAAATTGGGAATCCAAATTGAAATTTTTGGGAATTGATTTTTAAAAACCTGGTAGAAAACGGTTTATTACTTTTAATATGTTTTGAACTCTGCCAAAAACTCTATTGGCCCTTTTGACCCCTTTTTGAACGTATTCCTCGCAATTTCAATCTCAATACAAAACCCCTAATCTGAAAATTGAGTAAGATAGAAATCCGAAAAAATGTGATTTTTAATGAAACACGACAAGAAAATAGTCCTAAAAACATATAATGGTTAAATACCAGTAAATAGGAATAAAAATTCTCAGAAATCATCATTCGACCTATAAAAAGCCATTTTTAGTTTATTTACTAGTAAATTTGTTTTAATATTGTCCTGACTATTTTTTAGAATTCCCTAGAATTCTCAAAAAAATATATAGAGTTAATTTCATTTTATAATTGTCCTGATTATTTTTAAAAATGTCATATAATTTTCAATGAAAAGAACCATGAATTCTGAATCCATTCAAAGATCCTATTCCCAATTC